TTGTTTCACCTTTCCACATTTCGAGTGAACATAAGAGGGAGGAAAAGTTGTATAATTTCGGACCACAGACTCTCCGATGACGGTTAACAGGTTTATGTGAAGCAACGAATAACTTAGCCAACTAGACTGAATAAAGGTAAGCTGTTAAAAAGAAAAACAAAGTAGACAAATACAAAAACAATGTGATAATCACTCTGGATAATAAATCAGTATTATCGGGGTAGGTTAAGGGTGAGAAGAAATTGCATTTGAACACATAAATAAGGTTTCAGTTCCCGCATAGCCGAGGCTTCAACTAATCTTCGTATATGTCCTTGAAGACTTTTGTACAACACCACAAATGCTGACATGATATCAACCTGATGACCAGTGTCAAGTAAATGTTTCACAATGGAGGAAGATGAATGTCTATTCTGTGATCTTATTTGACCATTGTAATTCATTTGTTTCTGCAGTCATTCAGGTATATGTTCCGTCAACCTTAATTGCAGATTACGATTGCTCTTCCCTATGTACGTGTTTTGGCACATACATGTAAATTGGTAGAAACAGTGAGATGTGACATAATCGCTTCTGCGTTGTTTGGGATTTTGGTGTAACATAGTCTTTTTCTTTTGAATAATGACTAGTTGAACTGCATAAAATGTCCTGTCAATGGCTAATTCAACATGAGACTATTTGAGTCGCCTCTAAGTGGTGACATAATGCAAATTCGGTTTTTGGATGCCAAAAGCATCAGAAGTAGAAGTGCACATGGCAACTCGAGATATTATCACCTAATTATTTTACAATAATTGAGGAAGTCTAACCATCACTATATACAACTAAATTTATGCAAACTTCATTGCCGACAATGACTATGAGCAAAGCGGTTAGCGATTATGTTTTGGCACGAATGAATTTTATCTCATTTTATTCATGTCAAATAATAATGCTAACGATAATGTAGATGAATATTGGTCAAGATTAGAACGGAGAGTTTGACAGAAATTGGGCGCCAACTATTGAGTAGTGAAGTCATTATCTATGTGAATAATGAATAATGAATAATTGAGTTGTAATTAAAAGGGTTTATATAAATAAACATCAATCACTATGATGAGTTATTTGTTGCCAAGTCATAAATATCTGGTGATTATCTAATGACCTGAACTCTGTCGTTAAATATTCACCATCTACATCTATCTATCTGTCTATATAAATATATATACAGACATCTGTATAGACACAGTTGAGCTGATAAGAGATAAGTGATCAACATTACTGTACTTAGTTTACTATTATGTATTGGAAATTGTTGATTATTCAGATTATAACATACATAATACTGGAGATGAGTAGAATCAATTCATTGTCAACAGGTAGGTGTAATGTTGATTAAAATATTGATGATCGTTTGTTATAAACTACACTCATCAATAGTAGCGTTCGTTAATCAAGGTGTACTTTTCACTGAGTAGTCCATGATAATTACCTACATGCATTCAGATGTACATGTGATTGTAGTGCATAGCAAGTTGGTGGATAGAACGAAGCAATCACGGTGAATGTTACAGCTTGAAATGAATTCCACAACGAGAATCGTCTTTGCATGCGAAATCTATTCATTAAGTGGACTAGAACATCATAGGTCTTGTACACACACACACACACACACCACACATCGAATATTGATTTTCAGATGAGTCACGACAGTTTAATGGACTGCTATTTCACTTTTATGCTCGATGTCGGATTCCAGTTATCTTATATGATGATCGATATCGAAATATACATCTGGTCTAACGACGGATACAATGATTAGGGTTAGTGAGTAATCCGATATTATAAGTCGAACAGCAGAATGGATTACTTCGACTACATGTCTATCTAATGAAACACAAAAATTAATGATTCTCTTTTATTATCACGATCATCACAATGTTATGATTGTCAATAAGTTGTCGAGTATCATTTAAATTCAGGGAATTCACTGATGAGTTAGACAGTTTAACAAAACAACCAGTACAACAATTTCTAACTATTTATTTTTTGTTCATCATGTTAATACTTCACATTGAAATATCGATGTATCGAACAATGACGAACTGGAAGTTGGAGAATATTCACTTGCGGTCGACCATGAAAATCCACCGAGAATGGAACGTGCAGTTCCACTTCCACGATATGGTTAAATTACCTGTATTACTTCTATGTACATGAAATGTATGAATGTCATTTCACTTGACCATTGTGACTTTGTTTCGTTGAAAAGTGTTGTGGTGATCGTTTGTGGTCGATCTGTTATTCAAAATAAAACATTTAAGTGATCATAGCTTTCCATTTTGATTTGAATAATTTGTGAATGATTAAGTTGTTGTAGTTTGATTATATTCGAATACTTAGATCACATGAGATCTAGTGCTGTCCTGCTCTCTGTTAGTAATGATTTCGGAGATGTTGTTTGAGGTGAACTAGGCGCTCTGATTTCATGTTGTCTATTGGTTTGTTAGAAGTCATGATAAGACTATTGAATCATATCACCATATGTGTGAATGGAGTAAGTGCTGGTCACTACAAAAGACGAAATACATAATAGAATAGGTTTGTTGAATTACATTAGATGAGTGATCACATTCACCAGCTTTACTTCCTGTAACCAGGTTTGGTGTTGTCGAAGACATCGATAAAGATACACATTTCAAACGATCTTGCACTCACAGATTTCATGAGAGTGGCCATTATATGTTTTGACAGTTTATTGGTTCACTCAAGTTCAATTAGATCTTCTTAATCGAGTAAATACCTCAAACAACTACCACAAAATAACTTGTAATTTCCCAGTTTAATTCGAGTTGATTAAGAAATACAGAGCGATCTTATTTGAATTGTTCCGTTTGTTCAATCATTCTTCATGATGTGTTCATAAAATGTGATTGATACAAGGGTTTATGTCTCCTGAAATAAAGTTGCGGTGTACGACGATACATCTTTTTTATCACAGGGTTCCTTATGTCCTTTATGCTGACATTTAGTGCAACGGTAGATTTTATATGGACAAAACTTCTTGTAGTGCCACTCATAGCATAATCAGCACGAGGATGTAGGCTGTTTGTTTGATTTGTCCTGCTTACGTACAAAAGAAACTTCCTGGCCATTTATTACCTGTACGTGTGGTGACCGGTCAATGTTTTTAACCATAGAAGTGTCATGTTTTAAGTTCATTAACCCCTGACACTCACTAGTCACTTGTAGAGTTTTATTTGGACACTGTTCAATTTTACTCAGAATTTTGGTTCTGATGTCGGCACCTTTAGGTGACTGCAAGCTGCATACAAAAACAAGACACTTAAACTGGTCTTCTGTTATTGCTGATAATTTGAAACGCTCACACTCGCAATTTACTATGTCAGCATGTTGCACCAAGTCTTCATCTCCGGCTTTTGCTAACTTGATATTTTGGTAACCAATATTGAACAAAGATGACTGCTCATCAAAGATTTGTGACAAAATTACGACCGTTGCATCAGATGATAGGTCTCTGGGATTCTTCTGGAGAATGAAGTTGATGTAGCGTTCATGTCCAGCTGTGCCAAGTTTGTGTAGTAGACCTCTTACCTCTGTGGCATCATCTAACTTTTCTAGGTCTACCTTGAATACATATTCGTATTTCTTGAACCATGACTCAATTGTAACACCAGCCAAATCATCAAAATGAAATTCGTGAATAGAATTAATAATGTGGTCGACATGAAATTTTAACGGATCATCTTTAAGCCCCTCTCGATTTAGGTTCATTTGCTGGGTTAGAATTTCTAGAATACGAAACTGAAAGTGCTCGTAACGTTTTTCTTGACGCTCCAGCAAAGCTTCAACTAGGTCAAAGGTAAATGACATCTTCATAAGTTGACCCTGTCGCCAGTTGTTATATATAAAACTTAGATTCTTAATATACCACGTATAACTTGAGCACTCGGACGCTAGAACCTTCCAAGTCGCGAATCAGAACAGAATTGTCAGGTATTTATACTTTTTTAGCATCATCATTATAGTCATTCAATCCGTATACGGGGGGTTATTAGCAATTGTCCAGTAGAGAAGCTACACATCGAGATTCTGAGAATATTCTTCCAAAAAATGATTGAATAGATTATCTCCACCTCTTTTTAAACTTCATAGAACGTCTTTAAATTAATTTATGATCTATCTTCATATAGTTTTTTTAAGATAATTATAATAGTTGAAATTATAAGTCAATTGAAGCTAGACCATCATGGAAAACCTAAAACCATTGAACGACCGTTTCGCCCTAGTATGGAACTCCTCAGCAATGCGCATCCACGATCCGGACCCCCGAGAGATTCGAACCATGAACCTATCAGTCTCGTGCGCGAACGATTAACCACTAGACAACTAACCCGACCTATATCCAACGGCTTCATTGTCTAACTTCAATTGACTCATGATTTCAACTATTGAAATGGCTAAAATCTCTACAAAACTCTTTCAGATAATTATAATGAATTCATTGAGTCAAATTTCATATCATTATTAATCATCTAATTGATAATTATGAAAAGATCTTATTCATTTGATTCATCAGCTGATAACATTAAATTCAATAGAATGGATGTCCTTCTAAAGAACATCATGACATTCCCGTTTTTTTCTCTTTTTTTTTATGTCTTTATCAATCACACGTGATAGAAAGTCAACTTTTTCTCTCTTTTCTTTTCTTTTCTTTACTTTTTCTTTTCTTTGAAATAAAACTATGAAACCATAGAGACAACGAGAAAAAGAAGAAAAAACACACACAATAGTTACTGATGAACAAAAAAAAACAAACAAACAATGAAACTACCGAAAGTACAGTGTACTAAGATAATAAAAAAAAACGTTAAATAAAACCTTAATAAACCTATAAAAAGTGTTTTTCTCTTCTTCATCATCTTCTTCTTTCATTTAATTGACAAGGATTTGATTTGATTCACAAAACTTCATTGTTTAATCATTCGAAGATTATGGAAGTTAAGTAAGTCAATGGTAACATTACTTGATAATATGATATTTGAATAGTTATTTTATTTAGTTATTTATTTCAATACACAGATAGATCGTCATCGGTTTCTATTCTGAGACATATCTGATAACGTCTTTAGTCATTGTGTTGCACCATCTCTCGGACCCCAACCAGGGAGTCGAGAAGGACCAACAGAAGCCAGCCCTTTGCAGCTTTCTTTCATACCACGACACCATGTCATACACTGACAACCCCACCGTTTTTCCCAACCAGTCCCAGAGTCGGCAAATAATACATAACGTGGAATTCTCTGAGACAACATTCGTAGGACATGTCCAAGCCACTGAAGTCGATGTTTCAAGATGGTAACACCAATTGAATTATCATCGCTGTGCCCGAACACACGATGCCGAATCTCTACATTACTAACATGTTGTTGCCACTGGATGCCAAAAGTGGCCCAGATTGGCATAAGCTGCTCTGGCTTTCATTATACGTGTATCGATCTCATCACTCACGTCACCACCAGCACATATGCAGATACCCAGATACACGAACTTCTTGGCTACTTCTATCTGTTCACCATCCAGGGTGAGTATAGGATTAGAATCCTGCCAGTCTTGTAGAATTACTTTGGACTTCGAAGGTGCAAAGCACATACCGTACCTACAGGCACTGATATTTGATTATGTTATGTGTTAAATTATTGAATGGTTGAACAATCTCATGTTCATTAATGCTTAACACTTTTCAAATTTTAAGGATTAGATTTGTAATGTATCTACTTAACAAGATGTAGATATTTAAGAATTCCATGTCACTTGCTGGCACATGTGTGTGTGACGAAATTTTAGCACGGATACAGAAGGCTAGATTAGCTTTTGCCAGATTGCGTCATTTATGGAGTAGGCGAGATATCCATTTACCAACCAGAGGACGGGTTTATTGAGCAGCAGTTTGTTCCGTTCTACCTTATGACAGTGAAACATGGCCATTTGATAAATTTCGATAGTGTAATAAGAAAACGAAAGAAATAGAAGGTAATAGAGGGTAAGAGGAGACAAGGATAATCAAGAACATTTTGAAACGTCATCACTCTGGAATACTTACTTACGCCTGTTACTTCTCATGAATGGGCTGAGGCCGCTCACCAGCATCCTCCATCCAACCCTGTCCTGGGCAATCCTTTCGAGCTCCGTCCAGTTGTAATTCATCGTTTTCATATCTGCTTCTATTATCCGATGTAATGTGTTCTTTGGCCTTCCACTTTTCCTCTCCCCTTGACGATTCAAAGTTAGGACTTGCCTCGTGTTACAGTTTGACGATTTGAGTAATGTATGTCCTATCCATTTCCATCGTCTTTTACTAATTTCTTCTTCAGTTGGAAGCTGGATTGTTCTCTCCCACAGAAGACTGTTGTTGATGGTATCCGACCAATGGGTGTTGAGTATCTTGCGTAGACAGCTATGCATAAGTACTCGTTCCTTTTTGATGACGATTGTAGTAGTAGTTCTCCAAGTTTCAGCTCCGTACAGTAGAACTGCCTTGATGTTCACATTGAAGATTCTCACTTTGATATTGGTTGAAAGTTGTTTTGAGTTCCATATGTTCTCCAACTGTAGGAATGCGGCCCTTGCTTTGCCAATCCCCGCCTTTACGTCTGCATCTGAACCTCCTTATTCATCGATGATGCATCACAGGTAAGTGAAGTATTCCAAATCTTCCAGAGTTTCACCATCAAGAGTGATCAGATTGGTGTTCTCCGTTTTGAATTTGAGGGCCTTGGTTTTCCCCTTGTTTATGTTGAGGCCTACTGATGCAGTGACTGCTGCTACACTGGCTATCTTTATCTGCATTTGTTCGTGTGTATGAGGTAGGAGGGCTAGGTCATCTGCAAAGTTCAAATCGTCTAATTGATTCTGAGCTGTCCATTGTATTTCGTGCTTTCCCTCAGATGTCGAGGTCTTCATAATCCAGTCGACCACCAGAAGAAAGAGGAAGGGAGAGAGTAGACAGTCTTGTCTGACTCCGATTCTTACTTGTAATGCGTATGTCGGCTGACCTCATCCACGACCTTGCACTGTGGTCCGTCGTATGAGTTCCGGATAATGTCGACAATCTTCTCAGGAACTCCCATTGTCGAAGAAGTTTCCATAATGTTCTGTCTACACTGCAAAACTCCTTTTCGTAATCAATGAGGTTGATGTACAGTGACGAGTTCCACTCAACTGATTGTTTGACGATGATCCGTAGTGTCACAATTCGGTCTGTGCACGACCGATCCTTACGGAATCCAGCTTGTTGATTTCGAAGTTGGGCGTCTACTGCATCTTTCATCCAGTTCAGCAACACTCTGTTAAAGACTTTCCCTGGTACTGGCAGTAGTGTAATGACTCTTTTTTTTCTTATTCGCTCAGATCTTTCTTTTGAATCTTGATGAGGTGTACTTCTTGTTCCTTCTCCCAAATCGTTTTGAATAGAAGGTGAAGCATGTCTGTAGTTATTTCGATGTCTGACTTCAGTGCTTCAGCTGGTATGTTGTCTGGTCCTGCTGCTTTCCTTCTCTTGATTTGTCTGATGGCCATTCTGATTTCTTCCGTCGTTGGTGGCATCATCCTGGATAATAAGGTAATATTATCGGGGTAGATTTGTGAGTGAGAACAAACAAGCGTTCGCACACGAAACCAAAGGTCCTGCGTTTGAATCCTGTGGACGAGACTGTGGATGCGCACTGTCGAGGAATCCCATAATAGGACGAAACGGCCGTTCAGTGTTTTCAAGTTTTCAATGGTAGTCTAACATCAATGAATTCATGATCTCAACAAAAAATTGAAACTATTACAAATAAATAATAAGGTGCACAGTAATCGAAATTTAATTATTAATCTAGATTTACTTGCTACTGTTTACTTCGAACTTTCCATTGATGTTTAGCACTGCAATTGATCAGTGTCTTATTAGTATATATGCATCCTGTGCGTATTGCCTTGATATCGCTTTAGGTCACAGGCTTTACATGCAAAGATGGATAGTGGATAACAGTGTAATCCAGTTTGACTCGCATTTCGTCTTATTTGTGACTCGTCAGCTGTATGTACCTACATCTCAGATGCTGGATTCCACTATTAACCACTATCCATCTTTGCTCATTATTAGTCTATTTTAATTCATCTGTTATTCAATTAACTATCGTATGTTATTGTTGTTGTTTTCTTTAGTAAACAAGTCAAATTACGATCAACCATTAAATATCCACTTGTAATAAATCCTGAAAAAGATGCAGAAAGAATCAATAAATCTATCAAACTTATGAGTAAGTTGTTGATGATCTCCTATTGAACGATTTGCCCATTATTCATTTAGCATTGGTTTACTTTCTTTTTCAGGTTGTTAGTTTATTTAAAGATTATTTCAGATCAGGGATCTTTTTTAAAGTTAAGGATCAGGTAGTTTATCATCAGTTGAGATAAGAAGTTTGAATCTATAACAAAACAGTTATCCAATGATTCTTGATTTTTCCGAAGTTCAATGACTAAAGTCATTCCACAATGAAAAGTTACAATGATAAACCATAAGCAAAGATGGATAGTGGCTAGTAGGGGAATTCAGTTTGACATGCGTTTCTTCTTATCTGAGACTCGTCAGCCAGATGTACCTGCATCTCAGGGTTCATGTTCACTCTAAGACTCGAACATAGTACCGTCTACTTCAAGTCGATAACGCAATGACGTTTGATGTGAAAGGTTGTAAAGGTTTTACATAAGATTACAGGACATTGAAAACGATAAGATCGGTTATAGGATGTGAAGAGTTTACATAAGTTAAGAGAATTAAGTGAATGAAGACGTATGAGTGAAGAGATAGTTTTAGTGTACCTAAGATGAGAATTAGTTGTGGAAAGACCACATAACAAAATAAACACTAATGAAATCATGATAGTGACAGAAATAATTTACGAATGTAGTGACACGTTTAATACAGTCTCTTTCTGGATAAATAAATCAGGTTTCAGTTTATTTATTGCGATTACTTTGCCAAACCGAAGAGACACCGCGTTGGTTTATCTGTTCATAGTTTTGTAGGCTTGTAGAATGTTAACAGTATGCCCGGTGTTAAGTAAATGTCGAGCTCTTCCACTCTTTAGAGTCAGTGCGCCTCTCAGTCCGAATTTCTTTTAAGTGAATGAAGACGTATGAGTGAAGGGGTAGTTTTGGTGTACCCAAGATGCGAATTAGTTGTGGAAAGACCACATAACAAAATAAACACTAATGAATTCATGATAGTGACAGAAATAATTTACGAATGTAGCGACTCGTCAGCTGAATGTATTTACATCTCAGAATTGATAATTACTATGGAACTCAAACCCAGTACCGTTTGCTTCCAACTCCATCGCGTTATCCACCTGTTAGCTACTGAATCCTGATAGCCACCTGCTTGTGCTATAGAGTGACTGATTAATTACAGTCCTAAATAACAACTAGAAGATACAAGTAAAACAGTAACAAGTGAAGATAAAACTTAAGTTTAGAATGATCCATCTCTACCATCCACTTGACTGAATAATAACAATCAAATACTCATTATTACTTTAAAGTTTCCACCTGTATATGATCGTGAATGTATACAGACAGGAAGTTCAGAACTTTGAAAAAAATAGCTGTTTATTGTCTTCTGGTTTTTAATGACGCCCTGTTCATAATGAAAATTGTTTTCGAAAATTAGTCTTCTAATAATGGTAAAGGGTATTGATGAGCTTCAAATGCTTCGTTTAGTCCTGTCGAATAATCTGCACATAACCGGATACGTCCATTAAGATTTTTAACAATCACTACTGGTGCTGTCCAATCAGGACAATTCACCGGTACTATGATTCCACTCCTTTGCAGGCGCTCCTATTCAACAATCTTATAATTAAAATATATTTCATGACGCATAGTTCAATTGTACCAGGGTTGAATGATGAATGATGATAAGCGGCCTATGCTCCTCTACGAGAGGGTAACCGGAGTAAGTAAGTAAATAAGTTCAATTGTACAACTTTAATAGTTTCTTTAGACAAAATTATTGGCATTAACATTTTATTGATCACTTGAGTTTGTAAGTTTATGCCAATTTTATTGACTGGAAGTACAGCGGAATCCTCGTAAAGAAAATATTCAGGTCAAAAACATCGATGTCTAATATTTTAGTGTTCCAATCCTCTCCTTACATAAAAGAAATATTTCTCTCAGTTCCTCATCTTATATCACCCTTTTCACATCAGTATTTATTACTACACGTTTGCTTTTGTTCGTCAATGATTAAACAGAAAAATTCATGATATCTATACTTATAATCAATAATTTAATAGTTGAATTCATGAGTCAATTGAAGCTAGACCATCATGGAAAACCTAGAAACACTGGATGGCTGTTACTTCCTAGCATAGGACTCCTAAGCAATGCACATCCACTATCTCCAATCGCGAGATTCGAACCCTGGACCTATCAGTCTCGTGCGCGAGCGATTCACCACTAGACAACTGAGCCGGCCAGCAACCAAACGGCGTTAATGTATAACTTCAACCAATCCATGAATATATACATATAACAGTATTATCTATATACTTCAACAGTACATTAAAAACATGTAATGCTCACTTCAATACTTGAACATTTGATGTTTGAATGGTGTAACGTCAATCTTCTGTAAACATCTAAACCTTTTCCATTGATCATATACTTTAGAAATAGTCACACTTAAAATAAAAACTGACTTAATAAGTAGTTTCAAATGAGTAGTTTACCATCCTTATCTATCTAATCTTTTATTATTTATCTATTATAGATCCTGATGAAGATGTTATTAATGAAATACTTGGTCATAGAAGTCTTCAACAACGTTTAGCTATACAAGAAATATATAAACGTTTATATGATAAGGTATTTTAAAGTGAAATTTACTGATTTAGTTGTTTCAACTGTATATTTCTGTAAACAATTTTGTGGATTAATGAAAGTTAGACATTAACACCATTGGTTGCTGGCCAGCTCAGTGGTCTACAAGTTAAGAGTTTGTGTGTGAGACTGATAGATCCTGAGTTCGAGTCTCGTGAGTCGGGATCGTGGATGCGCACTATTGAGGAGTCTCACTACAGAACGAAATGGCTGGCCAATTCTTCCACGTTTTTCATGGTGATCTGGTTTCAATTGACTCATGATTTCAACTATTAGAATTACTATAATATCCGCACAAACCCCTTCTGAAATAAATTCGTCGAATAATAAAAATGTTATATTTGTACTTCTACAATCAGAAATTTTCTTTGTCTCACTTAACTAAATATTGAATGGTTACCGGATCATAAGAACCCTTTTTTAATCATACTTGTTTACTTAGTTTCTTCAATATGTGATTCATTTTTTGGTAGTGAGTTATACTCTAGTGAACGAGAACACAAGAACAGGACAATCGAATGTATTTAAACATACAAATTACAGAATCTCTTAGTAAAATCTAAGAACCATATAGTATATACTTCATTTGCAAAATGTCAATCAATCATCTTAGATTTCATTGTTCTTTAGTTTTCTTCGGTCTTCTTAACGTTCTTCTGTCAGGTATTTCACTTTCGATTGGTGATACATACTACTTATATCTCTCAATATCAGTAGCACACACAATACTACTAAAAAACAGTTACTTTATGTTTAACCCAAATGAGAAAAAAAGTCAGAAATTGATATTAAGAACACATCAGGTATTAAAAAAACGTACTTAAATGCAACGATTGATGCACCGACTAAAAATGATAAGAGATATTGTCGGTTAACACTGGAATTTTGCCTTACCGTATAGATGAGACAGAGAACTTGAAACAGAACAAAACTGATCGCCTTCATAATGCAGCCAACACAATTGAGGATGGTTGATTTCGAATAAAACAACAATAGCAACAACAATGAAACTGATTATTGTAGTAAGCTCATCTGCCCATTGTAATAGGGACACTTGACCCACCATGTAATTTTCAGTGTGAGTCTGACTGAGCATATGTCAATTTTTAATCTATTCTCCCATTGGTTGTAATACCCAGACAATCAATGATTTATCCATACTTGATTAACGCTCATAAATATATATGGACTTTTAACACTCACACACACACACACTCTTGGTTTCACGGTGTGCTTGCTTCCTGTACGCTTGTGGATTGTACCAATCTTTAACAATAAACTTTCTCTATAATTGGTGTTCAGGCTTTTGAATAATCTCGAGTAAATCCATAATTCTAATAGGAGATTTAGCCTGCATTAAATACCCAGATAACGGGATACTATTTATAGGCGTCAAATATAGGGGAAATTAGCCTCGACATTATCTCAATACCGATCTCTATCCATAGCCTAGATCTTGTCATAGAGAATCGATCACAATGGCGTCGGTGAATACCCTCTTTGTCTTCCTTCAAACTATGAGATTAAAATTGCTTTATATCTTTCTTTCTGTGCACTAATTCTTCCTTCCTGTACTATACCCTTATATACAATCTTTCTTTTTATATATTATCAGCATTGAATTAACTACTTCTATGAATTTGGTGTTGATCTTGCTGTACTAATGAGGAATGGCAACTTGGATCGATCCATATATGTGCATGGTCATACGTTGTAGCTGACTGACTGTTTGAGAGAACACGAGTAAAAGAGGCATCATTTATATGATAAATATCACATTTTCACAGCCATTTACACATTTAAATACTGAAATTGTGTCTGATGCAAATTATATGTTCGAATCTGTTTGAATTCACTACAAATGCACTAATTGAATTGTTTCTTATACTATTTTATACTGATTTACTTACTAAGGTAGCAGCAAACACTAAATTATAAATCCTCAGAAACTCGACTTTCTACTCATTAGGATGGTTGAATTCATGAGTCGATCAATGTTAGACCACTATCAAAAATCTGGAAACACTGGACGACCGTTTCATCCTAGTATTGGACTTTTTATCAGTGTGTATCCACGACTTCACACTCGGGGTTCGAACCCAAGACCTTAGATTTCGCACGTCAACGCCTAACCTATAGATAACTGAACTGGAATCCAACGGTGTTAATGTCTAACTTTAGTCGATCCATGAATAGCTGCCCAACCATTCATCCATTACCTGAGGTAGATACCTGTTTCTAACCTATACGGATTAGACTCCACTCAACGCAACTTCTCACTAGAACTCCGAGAATTCCCTCACAAAGCTAGTCATTAGTGAGCATATGGTAATTATCAGTAATAGGGTTGTGTAGATTATTAAGTTATTGATTGAGATCATGAATCCATTGATGTTAGACCACCCTGGAAAACCTAGAAGTACTGAACAGCCGTTTCGTCCTATTTTGGATTTCCTCACCAGTGAGTATCCACGATCTCGTCTAGAGGGATTCGAACCCAAGATCTATTATTCTCACAGGCAAACTCTCAACCTCTAGATCACTGAGCTGATATCCTACATGAATTATACAAACTATGCATCTTATTCAAATCAATCATACAAGTAATAATGAATCTTTATGCTTTACATACATCTATTCATTTCATTTCTTATTATAGGAAATCACTGAACATATTGGTTCTGTATTAATTGGCAGTTATGATAGTTTAATTAAAACTTTATTTAGAAATCCAATGGAAATATTAGCTAATGATTTATATAAAGGAATCAAAAATCTTGGATCAAATTATCAAATTATGACTGATATTATTTGTTGTTGTAATAATACTGAAATTTATTTATTAAAAAAAGCTTATGAGAAAGGTGAGTTATGTAATCAGTTACCTTTTTTGAAAAAATTTTTATTGAATATGTTATGATCAAAGTGATCAGAATACATTTTGTTTTTAATTGAGATCATAAACCGATTAATGTTAGACCACAGTTAGAAACCTGGAAGCGCTGGATGGCCGTTTCGTCCTAGTATGGGACTCCTCCGTGGCAATGCGCATCCACGATCCCGCTAGCAGGATTCGAACCCATGGTCTTCAGTCTTGCGCACGGACGCTTAACTTACTGGACCATTGAGCCGGCATCCAACGGTGTTAATGTCTAACCTCAACCAATCCATGAAGTTGCGCGATCATCTTCCATTGTACTGAGGTTGGTACTTGTTTCTAATCTATTCGGATTAGCTTCACTGGTCATGGCTTCTCACTAGAACTCCGAGAATTCCCTCACGAAGCTAGTCACTAGTGAGCACATGTTCCTTACCAGCATAGGGGTTGTGGAGATTATTAATTTTTTTGACTGAGATCTCGAACCGATTGATGTTAGATCACTGCTACTTGTTAAGGTATGTCTATATGAAAACTAATAGGTTAACTCTACGTAGACTAATCAGTATTAGCAGGGTAGTTTAAAGATAAGAACACATCGTATATGAACACATGAAGAGGGTTTCAGTTTTCGTATTGCCAAGGCTTCAATAAACTTTAGTATAGCATCAGATCATCACTTGCTGGTCGCCAAGATGAAATTGAAACTCAAGAAGCACCGGACAATGAAGTGAACAACAGCACAAAAGTTTATTACGGTTTTTCTTCGGGATAATGACAAACTCAACAAATTCAAGATAGTCTTCAGCAATAGATTGCAGGCCTCTCATAATCTACTCAATGGAGAGCGAACTACCATGGAGAGCGACTGAAAGAGGATAAAGGAAGCAATCACTTCAACATGTAATGAGGTTCTGAGCCACAAGAAGCACCATCACAATGAATGGGTCACTGTTGATACACTGGATAAGATTCAACAAAGGAAGAACAAGAAGGCACCAATCAACACCAAACGGACAGGAGTAGAGAAAGCCAAGACACAAGCTGAATATACAGAAGTAAACAAGCGAGTGAAGAGGAGCATCAGAACCGAAAGACGAAAATATGTGGAAGATTTGGCAATGACGGCGGAAAAGGCTGTGAGAGAAGAAAACATGAGACAACTGTATGACATAACAAAGAAACTCTCTGGAAATCTAAAACAATTAGTCCCTTTGATAAATTTCGATAATGATATTAGAAGACGAAGATTATCAGAACTATGTGATATATTAGCGCAATACATTTCGAACAATCTGGTCACACATATACTGGTTAAGAGCATTTATATATAAAAATAAAAGGTCAACTAGACAGGAAACGGGGTAAGAGGAGATAAGGATAATGATAAGAGTAATAATAATAATAATGTGGAGACAATTCGAGACCTAATCACTCTGGATAATAAGTCAATATTACCAAGGTAGGTTTATGGTAAGAACACCATCTCAGGAACAAACTGCTTTTGAACACACAAAGGGTGTTTGAATTTTCGTATGGCTAAGGCTTCAATAAACCTTAGTATACGCCCTTTTACAACAACACAAAAGCCGAGTTAAGATCAATCTTATGGCCTGTTTCGATTATATGTTTAGCATTAGAGGATGATGGATGTTTATCCCCTGCTCTTATTGGGTTACTTGATTGTATTTGTTTCTGCAACCATTTTGGTACACACCCTAATTTTGATATCACGATTGCTCCTCCCTATGTACGTGTGACCACACACACATTTAAATTGGTAAACACAGTTGGATGTGACACAATCGTTTTCATGTCTTTTAGGTTCTTTCTTTGATAATGACCTTTGCTGCGCAATACGTTTTGTTGGTGACTGATTTAAGTCTTTGTTTCAATAAAAGGCTATTTGAATCACTTCTGAACGGTAAGGTGATGTAGACAGGCTTTTTCTCTACCGAGGCTACAGTAGGTCTCGTTGTACCATGGACTTATTATCCAGAGTGATTAGGTTTCGCTTTGTGTTCACATTATTATTACTATTATTATTATTACTCTTATCATTATCCTTATCTCCTCTTACCCCGTTTCCTGTCTAGTTGACCTTTTATTTTTATATATAAATGCTCTTAACAAGTATATGTGTGGCCAGATTGTTCGAAATGTATTGCGCTAATATATCACATAGTTCTGATAATCTTCGTCTTCTAATATCATTATCGAAATCTCTGGAAATCGCCGCGAACCAGAACGACCAGTGAAAAGCAAGGAAAGCGAGGTAATCACCAACGTTGAAGAACAACGAGACAGGTGGGTAGAACACTTCAAAGAACTCTTGAATCGACCAGCTCCACTGAACCCACCCAATATCAAAGCAGCACCCACGGACCTCCCAATCGATGTTGGCCCACCAACAATTGAAGAGTTCAGCATGGTCATCAGACAAATCAAGAGTGGCAAAGCAGCAGGACCAGACAACATTCCAGCAGAGGCACTGAAAGCAGATGTAGCAGTAACTGCAAGGATACTCCACATTTTGTTCAGCAAGATTTGGGATGAAAAGCAAGTACCAACAGACTTGAAAGAAGGACACTTGATTAAGATCACGATCCTGCTCTCAGGACCATACTTTTCTAATCTAGTCAACTGATGATATCACTTCATATTAACCCAATATCATAGTTATGCATTAATATTCACTCCAGATATGTTTAACGAAATAACACTTCAATAATTGAGATCATAAGTCAATTGAAGGTAGACTACCATGGAAAGTGTGGAAGCCCTGGATGGTCGTTTTGTCCTTTATTCTTTAACTGGTTGTTCACTGATTGTTTTATGAATGATGCTCATCAGGATCCAAGCGTAATTTTTGTTTGTGCATTTTCTTTTTCGCTTTTTGCTGTTTATTTTGTATTCATCCCTAAAGAATAAACATTAATTATTTTTTGTTATTTTTTAATCTTTTCTAGTTTTAATGAAGGAAGATCCAAAAGGTAAATAACAAATCGTTTCATTTTATTGATAGTGATAAAGTACTTTTCATTATGAGTAACAATTTTTGATATCGAAAGGGGGAAATAGTGGATATTATAGTAATTTTAATAGTTGAGATCATGAGTTTGTTAAAACTACACCACTATAGAAAATCTGGAGGCCCTGGATGGCCGTTTCATCCTATTGTTGGACTCCACGGCAGTGCACATTCACGACCTCGTCCCGCGAGATTCAAAACCAGGATCTATTGGTCTCACGAGCGAACTCTTAACATCTAGATCACTGAGCTGGTGTGGTTGTCTAACTTCAACTGATTCACGAAATTGAACGACTTATTCATCATTATTATCAGTGAGACTAGAATTTTATGGACAAGCCAAACAGACTTAGGGTAACATGTCTTGGATTTCGGCGCAAAATTCAATCATCTATTTAGCTAAATAACGTCTTGACATTTTAGCTGATGTCAGTTCGTGACGAAAACCCTTAATCTAATTCCTAACTTTAAACATCAACTATGGATCAAAATTCTTATCCTTCACACAGGTTTTAAATCATGGTCAGTTGGTGAACACTCCCAAAATCACTTAAGCGTCACTCAAAGGTCGTCCATAAACAATAGTCTCACCGAATATTCAACACTTAATGTGCAGTACCGCAAAATATAAATGTCTTATATTCACTCTAATTTTTAAATATTTAAACGGACATGTGGATATGTCTTTCAGTGTTGAGTAGCTTAGTTCAGTGTTATCCATAAACGAGTGTGTTTTTTCTGGATCAGTTCTTCGTTCTATGAAAACATTTTACCTACCTAGATGATTGTGTTTAACTTTTGACAACAATTAGTATGATAGCAGGACTATGACTTCTTTATAAAGGTACTTGATCATATACTATCTGTATTGGATCAACAATGTGAGATTGGGATGAACTAATCATTATTTGCCTGAATGCAACTGAATATTAACAGTGTTCACTATAATCTAGAATAGTTTGGATACGATTAAATTTAGTCTAAGCTCACTAACAATGAATTTGTCAATACGATTATCGTACATGCCAACTTTCAATTACTTATGCAATATTCTAGCCTCCACCCCCCTCCTCCATATATTTTAATACAAGATTGAAATGTATTACAAATGGTAAATCTCAATATGTACCATTTTATCAAAGCAAAACTATTTAGATAGTTTAAAAAACACAATTCATGGAGGTACTTACTTACTTACTTACTTACTTACTTACTTACTTACTTACTTACTTACTTACTTACTTACTTACTTACTTACTTACTTACTTACTTACTTACTTACTTACTTACTTACTTACTTACTTACTTACTTACTTACTTACTTACTTACTTACTTACTTACTTACTTACTTACTTACTTACTTACTTACTTACTTACTTACTTACTTACTTACTTACTTACTTACTTACTTACTTACTTACTTACTTACTTACTTACTTACTTACTTACTTACTTACTTACTTACTTACTTACTTACTTACTTACTTACTTACTTACTTACTTACTTACTTACTTACTTACTTACTTACTTACTTACTTACTTACTTACTTACTTACGCCAGTTACCTCTCGTGTCGGAGCATAGGCCGCCTAACAGAACTCTCCATTCATCCTTACCTTAGACATTCATTTCCAGTTCTTATTCATGAAGATGGTAAGTGAATAATTACTTGCTAATCAGTTATCTAAAAATATTTTGAATAGAGAGTCGTTTCTTAAAGAATGCTAAATTTTATAATAAATAAACAATAGTGTAATCGTGATATAATTGTAACCAACCTATGAACCCTTAAGAAATGTTTTACTTGGCATTTCTGTACCCGAATTCAAAAATGTTCGGATTGAGGCTTTTTTGAACTGCTTGGAAATACTTTGGTATTAAATTATTATGATTCTTTGTAACAATTTGAGGTCTTATGCAATTATATGTTTATATGCAAAGATAAATAGTAACTAGCAGTGGAATCCAGTTTGACACGCATTTCGTCCTATTTGAGACTCATCAGACGGATATACCTGCATCTCAGATTTGATATTCTCTCTGTGACTCGAACCCAGTACTATTCACTTCAAGTGGATAACGTGATGGTGTTTCAAGCGAACGATACTGGGTTCGAGTCACAGAGTGAATATCGAATCTGAGATGCAGGTATACCCGTCTGACGAGACTCAAATAGGACGAAACGCATGTCAAACTGGATTCCACTGCTAGTTACTATCCATCTTTGCTTAAAAAGTTTGTGACCTAAGGCATTATCGATGTAATACGCATAGTATGCACATATGCTAATAAGAGACTGATCAATCACAGTGCTAAATATCAACGGGAAGATTTAAACAAACAATACCAAGTGAATTTCATTATGTGTTTGTTGTAGATCCATACTGCACTCAATAGTTCAATCTGAATTGTTTAAACTTTGATAGATCTATCTTCTTGATTTTACCTAAATTTTTTGAAGTACCGTACAGAACTTTATCATTAAGCAAAGTAAATCTATCTTCTACCATATGTATATGTAATTTCATTCTTTTTAGGTTATAGACAGAGATCATTACACATTGATATTATGAAAGAATCTAAAGGCTCATATAAATTACTTATGGAACAATTATTAAAAGGTGAAAGATGTGAAGATAATACAAATAAAATTGCTGAGTCGACATCTACAGTTCAAGGAGGTGTTGATCAAAAATTAGTTGATGATGATGTAACAGAATTGTATGAAGCGGGAGAAGGGTAAGTTCATCTATTCAGTAATTATAAATCACTATAAATTCAGTCAACTCAATGAGCTAGGTGTTTTGTTGCCATAGTAACTAATGTCTAATTATAAATATCTTTATGTTGTATCACTATGAGGTAAATATAAACATTTACAGTTTATCCGAAATGTTTCCTGAAATACTCAGTATAGTTACAAACTAACTAAATATCTGATGTTATACTGTTAAGATGGTTAAGAAGATTTATAGCTCAGTTGAATGGTTCATTCACTTGGATCCATTCAGCTTAGAGAAAACAATTTCATCAAAAAGTTGTACTGTTAGGAAAGCCAGATTACGTATAATCAGAATAGATAAGGTAAGTAAATGTTGTATAAATAGAAGAGAGAAAAGTAGCATATTATGTTTAATGATTAGTAAAAATCAGTTGATCGTTAAGAAACAAAAACTCTTTCCATATAAGCAAAGATAGATGAAGGTTAGCGCTGGAGTCCAAGATGAATGTTTCGTCCTATTTAAGACTCATCAGTCAAATGTATTTCATTGATTAACATTTTTTAACCAGAATCATATAAGTAATCATTAGGTAGTAACATATTCATAAGACAAATTCAAGTAAATAGTTTAGCAAGTAGAATTTTCTTTTAACAATTTCATATTAAATGTCTGATGACACTATAATTTATGGGCAAATTTTGAGTGACACCAAAGTAACTTTGAGAATGTCGACCTACCAACTAGGACTAAATGAGGATTATAAATCAGTGTGAGGGGCTAGAATTATGATTTAGAATTGATGGTTAAGGTTAGGAATTCGATTCATGGTTTTCATCATGAACTGACATCAGCTAAAATGCCAAGACGCTGTTTAGCCAAATGGATGATTGAATTTCACGCCGAAATCCAAGACATGTTATCATAAATCTGATTGGTTCGTACACAACGGCACCGAATAGATATGCGCTACACAATTCATTTGATTCGTTTGTGGGCTTTGATACTACCCGGGTGCCCAAACAGAAGCAGATGGTTTTCTTAGAAAGTCACACCCCGAGCCTATAAGGCAGTGGAGCAACGTCAAAAGATGCAGTCCTATGGTAGCTGTTGACTAACAATTGGTTCATACGTCATTTGTTCCCCTAGAATCCTGGAGTCCATGTGCATCATAAGTTTGTAATCAGAGTTTTCCAACTTCTTTGAGTGAATCCTTTGTATTCAACAACATGGTTAAATCGCCGGACATTCGTTTTTCATCCTCTCATTCTCGTAAACAACAGTAATGCCACGAGAAAGCAGTGAGTAGGACTGTAGTGGCTGTGCTTCGTTGATCAATCACCCTCGTAACCGTTACCATATAATGCTCAACGGTGTTTGAAATCATAAGGCAAAGAGAAGCAGCGACTATAGTTTTATTAGCAGATAACTCAGACAACAAAGCCGAGAGGCAAACGAATGACTCAGCGAACCGAGAGCGTAGAGTGTTAAATGTATGGATCATCGAATCAATTAAGCAGCTAATAATAAAGCTAGCAGAATGAATACATGCGTAGGCGGTAAGCAATGTTCAAGTACATACATATTTCATACAAGCACAACAATAATAAAGGTACAATAAGTTGTTATAGTCGGATGACTTTGTCCGCTAAATAAGTTAACAGAAGGGCTTAACCGAGTTAAATGAGAACAAACACAATTGCACATGATTCGCTATCGTACTACCCTGACAGTGGCTGTATACGCGTGTTCATCTGAGAGAATCTCTGGAGAGAGAGCTAACTCTTTCCATAGTTGACCGTACTAGGGTGTTTGGGGGCATAGAATACATAGTGCAGATCAAAAGGTTAAAGGATACATCTAAAACCTTCATGATTATGGTGTAAGTTTTATTCAAATTGTGACTGTGACAGTAATTTTAACTAAAGATGATTTTTGGTGGAGTTTTGTTCTCTGAGCTGGATAGTTTGGTCGTGGAGCTTTCATCGTTCTTCTGAACGACATCATCATCAGCACAAACTTCAGATAGAAGTGAAGTGTTTGAATTTCTCCATATGTGTCTCAAAGCTTGTTCTGTGCACCTCGACGTTGATTGGTTCCTATTGACCTTAAATTTGTCGTTGTTTACTTCTTTGTTTTGGTTGTGTCTCCCATTGGTGTTTGATTTTTGCTCCTATATTTGTGCATGATTTTTCTGATTGGTTGATAAATTGCATTGATTTCAATATGCTTGTTGATTGCTGATTGACCTGAGTGCCAGGCTTCTAAAAATTCTCTGGTGTTTTTGGAGTTTCCTCTGTCTAAGATTTCCACATTTTTCCAGTCGAATGAGTGTCCGTAGTTGTCCTCGTGTATTGAGATAAGTGAAGAGATATCATGCCTATGAAAGCTCCACGACCAAACCATCCAGCTCCACCAAAATCATCCACCTGAGCTACAAATCTTCTCCACCATCTCATAACTAAAGATGATCAAATAATCGTGATAACTGGTGTAAGACTAGTGAATTTTGGTTACCTTACAGTTTAAAATTTTATTAGATAATATGCTTATTGTGTAACTCTTTAGAACCAGCTATTATACCGTTATAATCCATTCTGTTTAGAAGTTGTGCTATGAACAATTGACTATATTGAGTCATTCTTTATATTATAAGCTATTAACTCATCATGAGACATATTCAGTTATATTTATCTCAACTCCATTGAATCTTCTGTATACTGTTTCTAATAAAATTATTTATACAGACAAATTGGCAAAGGTGATCCTTCTATTTATATATCGATTCTATCAAAACGTAGTAAATATCATATCAGAGAAATATGTAAAGCATATCAAAAAGTAAGTTTATCAATCATTTAAATAGTTTTATTCATTGATTTTAACTAACAACTAAATAATCGTGGATGAGCCTTATTGAAGAGTTCCATACTAGAATGAAATCGTTGTCCAGTGCTTTTAGGTTTTTCAGGATGGTCTAGCTTTAATTGACTCATGAATTCAACTATTTAATTACTACAATCTCCACAAACCCTCATTCTGACAATAATCAGCATGTATTCACTAGTGACGGGTTTCAAGATGTGTTTCCTTGAGTTTTAGTGAGTAGATGTGATCAGTGGTGTGAAAAGGTGTCTGTTGTGAGGCAGTTACTCACTCAAGACAATAGTGGACGGTCGTGCAATATCGTGGATTACTTGAAATCGGACATTAACACCGTTGGATACGAACTCAGCGGTCTGGAGGTTAAGCGTCAGCGCACGAGTCCGATGGGTTGTGGGTTTGAATCTCGCGAGGCGGGGTGGCGGATGAGCACTGCTGAGGAGTCCCATGATAAGAAGAAACGGCTGTCCAGTTCTTTCAGGTTCTCCATGGTTGTCTAGCTTACATCGACTCATGAATTCGACCGTTGATATATGACAATTTCCACAAATTCTTATTCTGAAAATAATCAGTGATCAAATTTTTATGGTAAAATGTTAATTAATTCTTCTGTAATTCCAATAAGTAGAAGTTAAGCAGTCTGAATATCTTAAATTCACTTGATGTTGTTTTACTTGCATCTTCCCATTGACGTTTAGGATTGTAATTGATCAGTCTGTTATTGTTTTTACGCAAAGATGGATAGTGGCTAGTAGTGGGATTCAGTTTGACATGCGTTTCTTCTTATCTGAGACTCGTCAGCCAGATGTACCTGCATCTCAGGGTTCATGTTCACTCTAAGACTCGAACACAGTACCGTTTGCTTCAAGTCGATAACGCAATGACGTTTGATGTGAAAGGTTGTAAAGGTTTTACATAAGATTACAGGACATAAAAATCGATAAGATCGGTTACAGGATGTGAAGAGTTTACATAAGTTAAGAGAATTAAGTGAATGAAGAGGTATTAATGAAGAGGTAGTTTTAGTGTACCTAAGATGAGAATTAGTTGTGGAAAGACTACATAACAAAATAAACACTAATGAAATCATGATAGTGACAGAAATAATTTACGAATATAGTGACACGTTTAATACAGTCTCTTTCTGGATAAATAAATCAGGTTTCAGTTTATTTATTGCGATTACTTTGCCAAACCGAAGAGACACCGCGTTGGTTTATCTGTTCATAGTTTTGTAGGCTTGTAGAATGTTAACAGTATGCCCGGTGTCAAGTAAATGTCGAGCTCTTCCACTCTTTAGAGTCAGTGCGCCTCTCAGTCCGAATTTCTTTGGAATGTGTTCGAAAATGTGAACACATACGCCTCTCTCTGTCCTTCCAATGTAAATTCTTTGGTAAGTACATGTAGACTGGTAAATGTAGTTAGAAGAATCGTTTGATTGAGCAGCTCGTTTCACATAAGTTCATCAGTTTTTCTGGCGGATATGCGTTTAGCTGAAGTCTGGTAAAAATTTGTAAAATTTATAATTTAGCTACTGAAATAATTCTAAGTAGCTTCGAATTTATTTGTTTTAGTTTAATAAATGGCTTAATTAGTTCACCTAATGTGATTAATGTGACATAACATAACCGAAGTATATAATATTGTCATTCTTTGTATATCTCCAACTACTTTCAAAAGTAAAAATACTTGCCCGACCCATAAAAAAGTTGATGCGGTAGGATTATAACTCATGGACGACCTGTAAACAAAGTTAAACTGACCTTGAGAGTGTCCACCTAATAACTAGGACTAAATGAGGGTTATAAACCAGTGTGATGAATTAGAATTATGATTCACAGTCTATGGTTAATGTTAGGAATCAGATTTAGGGTTTTCATCACTAACTGACATCATTTATTATGCCAAAACTCTATTTAACCAAATGGATGAGTGCATTTCGCACCAAACTGCGAGTCCTGTTATCTTATCCCTGACTGGTTGATCCATTAATTGTAGTCTCGCCGTTGATGTTTCTTTATAAAAATTCAGTCATCCCTAATGATAAGTCGTTTTATTGATACTTCATTCGAGACAAAATGTGATAAACATAAATCATTTCTATTCAGAATCATTTAAATCATCTTACTTGGACAGAGAAAATCAAAGTGATCATTACAAAGTATGTTTGTCTATGGGAAGAGTACTTAGGCGATATTTATAAGACAAAACACTTTCTGGATATTTTACAGAGAAAGTATAATCCATTTATAAATAAGAGATAGACGAATTGAAAAATGACTCCGTTTCGATCTTACTACATGAATAGAGCTGTCCAGTATAATTTTTAGTTTAAGGACGTTGACTAACATAAGATGCTTTTTAGTACACTGAATACATACAATAATTCAATAATAATCACACTAAAGTGCAAAAGAAAGGGAAAAAGAAACCCGAAACATACTAATAAAGAGAATTAAGGTCAAGGAAGATTGAAAGGTTGGACGAATCGTTTTTGCATGCAAAGATCGGGCTTGAGTTCATGGATTGCCAATGCCTCTGCAGTGCATAAAATATTGATTCAACATTCGCTCGATCCAATTCTTTTGAATCTGTAGATTACTTTAAAATAAGAAATGTTTGGATCGATTTGTCCACAGTTGATCATTCAATGGCACTATGGGTTATCTTAATTATCATTCCTTTGAAACCTAATACTACTACTACTACTACCATCATCCAATATTTGGTTTTATTTTAGAAATATGGTTGTCTTCTAGTTGAATCAATATCAAGAAAATTCTCAAACCCTCTTCGTAATGCATTAAATACTATCAGTGAGTGAATTATATTTTTTCAAGTTTTATTATGTTATGATAATACTATTACCATGGAAGCATCAATCATCTATGTTTGTACTTTTAGTGTTATGTAACTAGTAATACTGTTCGTATAAACAAATAGTAAGATGGAACACTAAGAACTTACATTTAATATTCAGGTTTAATAAAGTGGTTGACTTTGTTGACTACTAATTACATTCAATCCATTAATCATTAGATTTGTAAACCTTTAGTAGCTTTTGTCCAAGTAAACAGGAGTTCGTTACAAGTCCATAAAGAATATTTTGAACTAATAATAGGGAATCATATTCATTCAATCAGATGCCATTTTTATATGCAACTTCCTATATCTTGAAAACTTTTAGATATCTCCTAATCAAACAATAACGTCTATTTAAGAAGCAAAAGATACTGTCAACTACTTGTATCAAATGAGCACATAAAACTTTATAGATCGACACTAAAATGCGGTGTTAAACCACTGTATGAAATCATAAAGTTTGTTTATTTATTTGAACCCAGAAATATTGGTACAAAGAGGCATCGAATACATATGCGCCACACAAGTCACTTCATTTGTGTGTGGGCTATGATACTACTCGGTTGCCCAAACCGAAGCAGGCGGTTACCTTACAGGGTCACACCCGGAGCCTTTGATATAAAGGTCTGATCCACAAGAGAGTGGAGCAACGTAAAGAGATGTAGTCTCATGGTAACCGGTGACCAATAATTGGTTCACATGCTATTTGTTCCATCAGGATCCTGGTTTGAAATCAAGGTTTTCCGACTCTTCTGAGTGGTTCCTCCATATCTACCAACCCTGTTGAAGCTCAGGACATTCGCTTTTCGTCCTCTAAATTTCATAAACAACAGTAATGCCACGAGAAGGCAGTGAGTAGTACTTCCCTGACAGTGGCTGTATACGCGTGGTCATGTTAGAGCATTTCGAAAGGAAGAGCTGACTTTCTGAACCTCGACCGTACCAGAGTATTTGGGGGCAAATCTTGGAGTGATGCATATTAAGCAAGTAACTCAGGAGTGATATTTCCTGCTTTGATTCTTCGATATAGGTTAACAGTAGTTGTGTAGTGTATGCTACTTATGTCGAAATAATTAGTATATAACACTAATCAGAGGTGGAATGCCTGGCAGTAAGAGGTTGGCAACATCGAATCAAAGAGAATAGAGACAGAGAGTAATTGTTATTGCAGTTAAGGGACTACAAAGTTTGAGATAATTAATAGAGGATTCGCAAATGAAGTAATAAACGTATAGTGTTCACATTTGACGAAAAAACTCGGTGACTTTATACTAAAATACATTTAGTTGTTGCCACCGGTGTTCTCATTCACTACATTTGCCCTGGAGTAGGAACTGATCACGGAGACAAGCATTCTTCGAACTAATCAAGTGTTCTTACTAAATACGAGCCTAGCACTATACATAAAATGTGAGAGCGTTATTTATCACGCTCCCAAGTTGAAATAGTACTATTTATTCAGTGATGAAACTCTTTAACAGTTGTACAATATTAGAATTCAATTGAAGTTAAACATGTCAAACCCATAGAGGCTGGCTAATCGATATAAACGTCAAACGCTTGCTTCATGACCGGGAGTTTATAGGTCCAATTCTTGGTACAGTCCTGTATATGAGCTAGTCGGGAGTTTAATATTGATATGAAATTAGTGTGTCACCGTTACCTGATTTTTAATAGTACTCCAATCTATATCAATCTATGATAAATACTACTAGCTATTCAATCTTAAAACATATACAGTATGTAATATCCATGTTGTATTAAATAAGTTAGAAGTGTATAAACTACTTAAATGAAAGTAATGAATACTGTATATACCCAAAACAAATTCAAATCTTGTTTTTTTTCTTTTTGTTCGTTTTACTCTGAAGTAATGGCACTAGTCGATCTACGTCTATTATTGACCTGTCAACTTTACTGTAGTATGGAAGGTTTAGGATCAAATGATGATACAATTATTAGAATAATTTGTCTTCGATGTGAGGTAAGATACGATGAAATTGATGCATAATGAAAGAGAAGTTTTTTTTAAAGATCAGTTTAAAATATTCAATAATAACAATAATAATTTGGACCCAGAACAGTTCGCTTCAAACGCCATCGGGTTATCCACTTGAAGCGAACAGTACTGGGTTTGAGTCCCAAAGTGAACATCAACTCTGAGTTGCAGATACATCCAGTTGACTAGTCCCAAATGTGACAAGACGCGAATCCTAGATTCCGCTGCTAGCCATTGTTCATCTTTGCTTATAATTAACAATTTAGTTGCGTAACTAAAGTGTCTCGTATCAATAATCAAGATTTTACAGCAGAACTCTTCATTATCTCACCGATTTCTATACTGAGAAAAAATGACCTTTTCTTTTTTTTACGTTGAGCACGTCAGTTGCATTGGAAGAATATGCACAGCTGGATCGGTTGTACTGAATTTATGTAGTTCACTGACAATAGATTATTAATCTTTCTTTTTCTTAAGTTTCCCATAATTAAGTCATTTAAACAATGTAATACATCTTATGTAGTTTTGTTCCGATAATGTAAATGAATCAGTTCATCATTAACTAGATTCATTCGCCGTCATGCTTTATCACGAATTCTGTGGCAGGAAAAGTTCGATTTAAATGTCTTTTAAAGAACCGCGTATACGGTGATACCTGGAGCTTCCCTTTTTGATCCCTTGATAATGTTAAACAAGAATGTAATTAGTGTTGACTTTCTCTGTTTTTCTATGGTTATGTATTTGATATTAGTTTGTGATGAGAACGAATAAAAAAGTTATATACACTGTTGAATATTGGATTAACTTGCGATATATGTAGGCAAGTAAGTAATGCAGTTGTTAGGAAATGGGTACTAGGTAAGGATGGCAAATCACTTGATGAAGTAGTGAAACTTCATCAGTTTAGATGGCTGGGACAATTGTTACGTATGCTCAACCGCCGACTCTCCCGAAGAGCGATAATTTATGGTATAGGAGTTGGTTGGAAGGAAGCTAGGGGTGGTTAGACCAAAACGTGACACAAACCCATGAAGTCACTGACAAGTGGACTGAGTCATTTTGGTAGGTGTAGACTACCTGATTGAGATCCGCGAGACAATAGCAACCGATGTTTAGAGAATTTGAATGGCATAGCTCGAAATCGTTTGAAATGGCGCAGATGCATCCACTCTTTGTATTCTTCCGAATTCTAACCTTCTGAATTTTTCATGTCCGTTTTTTTCTCTTTCCAAATTTATTTCACTGGATTATACTCCTTGAATAACATCTTCAAACCCTAATCTTTCCGATTACAGCTCATAATTTTACTACCTCTACCACTACGGGATTCGCATTGACAATTGTATCTGTGTGCTAATATGGCATGGCAACTCGGACTGATGTACATATGTACGCACGAAGTTCTACGTTGTTGCCAACTGCCAGCCTATAATTTATGGATGAACCAATCATCCATAAATTATAATCTCACCTATATCTATATACATATCTAACTATTTTAAAATAATCACCAAGTGAATATCAATAATAATTCAGTGAAAAATTCAATGAAAACAAAATATCTAAATAATAAATTGTAATTGATGACTTCATTTTGAAGTTTTTGTTTTGTTTTGATTTATGAGATCCATGGAAAATATCATGGAAACATGTGATTGATTTTCAATTAATGATCTAATTGGTATTTAATGTATTACAATGATTTCTATGGGTCTTGATTAACTATGTTAACTATGAAAACCAAATAGATTTATGAGTATAACAATGTATATAGATATGAGATAGTATTTGAATCTAGTTGTCGATTTGGATTATGAAGATCTCGACATCTGAAGGGAAGCATGGAATACTGTTATGACTTTAAGTTGCGATCGATTTTTACCCTGTGCTAATTGTTATGTCCTTGACTGGAAAATTAGAGAGCAGCGTACTTATTGATCGATTACAGTGACACGTAAACACGAACGGACGGCCTAGAGTCTCGATTGGTCTTGCTTCCCTGTCTAGCCCAGTCAGTTGAGTCCAGAAGACAAGCCACAGCCTCGGAGATATGAATCATTATATTTCAAACATACTCTATTTATATACTAACCAAGCGTACCACATCGTACCATAAAATAGAAAACAACATTTTGTACAATATTCAACAAGTGAACAGATATCGACCAATAGAAAATGTCCATTTAAAGTCCAAGGACACCATTTGACTTAACATGATAATTATTGGTCTATTCCTCCGCGTCCACAACAAATACAATGGACAATTCGGAATCAATGAGAAGATTTGGATTCTACAGATAACCTAGCTTTTCTATTTCATACATATCAACAAATGTAGATGAAGATAACTAGTGTAACATATGCCTCTGAATCAGTGGATCTAAACATAAACAAGAGAAAAAGCAAGATCGTTAAATATAACACAGAGAACACCAGCACAATCACACTCGATGGAGAAACTCTAGAAGAGATAGAATCATTCATGTACCTGAGAAGCATCATTGATGAATAAGAAGCACCTGATGCACATATAAAGGAGAGGATTAGCAAAGAAACGGCAGCATTCCTATAATTGAAGAACATATGAACCTCAAAACAACTGTTAACGAATATCAAAGTCATAATCTTCAATATGCACATGAAGATATTAATACTATATGGAGGTGAAACTTGGAGAACTACCACAACCATCATCAAAAACGTACAAGTATCTATAAACAGTTGTCCACGTAAGATACTAAATGTTTGTTGGCCGGATACCATCATCATCAGCCTACAATGAGAAAGAGTAAATCAGCTTCTAGCTGAGGAGGGAATTGGGAAAAGACGTTGGAAGTAGATAAGACATACAATGATGAAATCCCCAAGCTGCATTACGAGACGAGGTTCAACTTGAAATTCTAAAGGGAAATGAAAAACCAAAAAGACCAAGAAACACACTACGTCAAGAATTGGAAACAGATATTAAATTGATGAATAGCAACTGGAAACAACAGTAAAAGGGATTGCCTAGGACAGAGTTTGATGGATAATGCAATGATTGCGTTCTACTGATCACATTGTAATCCATACAAAATTTCAGGTAGTTCAACATTGAACACTCTATCCTAATATGTTACATCATAGAAAGTAAAGGATATAAAATGCTTGTCCTAGATTTTATGAACCTACTTCAAATAAAGACTATTCTTCAGACTCGAGAATTCATTACTGGATTTCAAGCTCTACTGACACAAATGTTTAAATACAAACAACAAGTAGTAATTGTGTTATCAACTTTCACTCTCTATTGCCAATAGATAAGTTTGTCAATTCATGACTCAACCTAGAACAATCTTCACATAACATATAACAGTTATTCCGCACATTCAAAATGCTCAAACTCCTCATATGTTCCTTCTTTTCCAATAAATTGTATAAACGATCATAGACGTACATAAGGATATCACCGAGTTAAACACATAAGTGTATTTTTGGGAAATCAATTAAACAACACCCTTGAATAATACATGCATCATCATCACCATGATGGAGAAGATTTGTAGCTCACGTGAATGATTTCGGTGGAGTTTTGTTCACTGAACTGGATGGTTTAATTGTGGAGCTTTCATCATTATTCTGAATGACATCATTAGTACAAACTTCAGGTAGAAGTGGAGTGTTCGAATTTATTGACATACGTCTCACAACTTGTCCTGTAGATCTTAATGTTGATTTGTCTTTGTTCAACATAAACCATAAATTAACACCGAGCTCTACAGGAAAAGTTGAGTTATATATGAATTTTTGTAAACACTTTCGTGGATGAATGAAAGTTAGACATTAGCACCATTGGTTGCTGGCCGGCTGGGTAGTCTACAAGTTAATCGTTCGCGTGAGAGACTGATAGATCTTGACTTTGAATCTCGTGAGGCAGGATCGTAGATGAGCACTACTGAGGAGTCTCACAATAGCACGAAACGGCCGGTCAATGCTTCCATGATTTCGATGGTGGGCTGGTTTCAATTCACTCATGATCTCAACTATTAAAATTATAAAGCAATTAGCAACAATAATTGTCAACAGTTACTACTTAGTCAATAACGAGAGAGAGATGATTAACATTCCCAGTTTAGCTGATGAACACATGGTAACGAAAAATAGATCTAAATTGTCTAATATTCAAAAATATTCTGAACGACAGAATCTCTAGGCTGAAAAAGTAATTTAATACTTTCATATCCAAAGAGAATATTAATAAACCAGTAATATCAATCTAATAAAAAGCCTCCGATGGACTCTTTGTGATGTACTTACAGGGTAAAATTACTATACACTTTTACTTCTATGGATAAACTAAGTATCTTTCTTCATTCAAATCACATTTCTATTATCTCCAATCTACAGATGGTGGTGAACATTTGTAGCTCACGTGAATGATTTGCATGAAGTACTGTTCTTTCAACTGGATGGTTAAGTCGTCGAGCTTTCATCGTTCTTCTAAATGACATCATCAATACAAACTTCAGGTAGAAGTGAAGTGTTCAGATTTCTCCACATATGATTCACAGATTGTCCTGTAGACTGCAATGTTGATTTAAGGTTTACTGGTTAACAACAACCAATCAATATTGAGGTCTACAGGACAATCTATGATCCATATATGAATAAATTCGAACAGTTCACTTCTACGTGAAGTTTGTACTAATGATGTTATTCAGAAGAATGCTGAAAGCTCCACGATCAAATCATCCAATTCAAAGATCAATACTCCATCATTATCATTAATTTTTCATAAAAAAATATTTAAAACACAGATGCCTTAGAAATATTGCTGGCATCTGCTGGGATCACCGGGTAAGTAATAGTGAGGTTAGACGCAGGGTATTAGGGAATGATGGTAAATCAGTTGATGAGGTTATGAATCTTCATCGACTGAGATGGTTGGGTCACGTATTACGTATGCCTGAACACCGATTACCACGACGTGCAATGCTAACCGGTGTAGGGGATGGTTGGAAGAAAGTTAGGGGCGGCCAAACCAAAACGTGGCATCAGTGCCTGAAGTCACTAACTTCTAGTCTGAGCCACGTTGGTAGATGCAGACTACTTGGTTGGGGTCCGCGTGACTTTCGTAACCAATGGTTGGAGACTCTTGGTGACATGGCTCAGAATCGATCACAGTGGCGTCGGTGTATACACTCCCTGTCTTCCCTTAAACTAAGAGACTAAAATCACTTCATTCTTTCTGTCTACGAACTAATTCTTTCTTCCTATACTATATCCTTATTGCAACCTTTGACCTAACCACTCCTATGAATCCGGTGTTCATCTTGCTGTGCTAATGAGGTATGGCAACCTGGACCGATGCACATATGTGCCTGGTCCTACGTTGTAGCTGACTGACTGACTGACTTTCATGTATAATCAAATAAAACATTGAATACCAACCACAACAACAACAAAAGGAAAAAAAAGAAAAAAAACTGTCAGCAGAACAATTGAATTTTTTTTGCTTCTTTTCTTTTCATTACTCATTTTCTCTCTTTTTCTCTCGTATGTTTTTCTCTTTCTCAGATTGATTTACAAGATATTAAAAACATATATGAGAAATATTTTTATAAACCATTAGCTAAAGCATTACAATCAGAAACACATGGTGGTTTTAGAAAATTATTATTAATTCTATTAGGTTGTGAATCACCATAGCAACTAAAATGAATAGTAACTAGTTTATTAGTTGTTGTTTTTTTTTTCTATTTTTTTTTAAAAAGTGAATTGTACACAATCAACTGATTAGTTAAATATAATGATGTAATAGTATAATACATATTGGTGTTTTTATATTTGGTTGTTGTTTATCCCTAATCTATTCTGGTGAATGGGGAATATAACTGGGGAATAATAAAATGACGATGAAATTTTGTTCTCTGAGCTGATGTCGTTCCAAAGAACACTAGAAACTCTACGATCAAACCATTCAGCTCAGAGAACAAAATTTCATCAAAATCATTCACTTGAGCTACAAATCTTATTCATCATCTCATAACAAAATTACAGATTATCTTAGTAAAATCTAAGAATTATACAGTAAATATAAACAAACATGGATAGTGGTTAACAATGGAATCCAGTTTGATCTATCTTTCGTCCTACTTGAAGATCATCAGCTGGATATACCTGCATCTCACTCTGGGTTCGAACCCAGTAACATTCACTTCAAACGCCATCGCGTTATCCACATGCTAGCTACTGAGTCCTGATAGGTACCTGCTTGTGCAGTGGGGTGAAGTTTAAATTCAATTGCTACTGTTTTACTGGAATCTTCTCATTAATGTTTAGGATTGTAATTCATCTGTGTCTCATTGACATATGTGTATACTGTGCGTCTTGCCTCGATATTGCCTTAGGTCACAAGCAATTTAAGCAAAGATGGATAGTGGCTAGTAATGGAATCCAGTTTGGCTCGCGTTCGGTCCTATTTGAGACTCGTCAGCTGAATTTACCTGCATTTAAGAGTTAATGTTCACTCTGTGACTCGAACCCAGTACCCTTCGCTTTAAATATTCAAGTAAAACAATATCAAGTGAATTCATTTGTAAAATGTTCATCAATTGTCTCATACTTTATTATTTCTTCGTTTCCACACTAATCACTCTCTGTTCTCTTCGATCGTCTCAAATTTCACATGTCAGGCATTCTACTTTCGATTGGCGAAACATACTACTTATATCTGACGAAATCATTAACGCACAATAAACTATCGTTTTAACAGTAACTGTTGTCAAACTAATGAAAAATGAATCGTTTAATATTGATTGATATTATCAATCAATTAATTTGAACTACTAGTATTGGATCGTTACTTTATGGTCAAAAGACGAATAGACAGAATTCAGTTTTCAGCATAATTGTATATTAAATTATCTGTTTTACTATGAAAAAGAATATCATTAGATTTCTGGCTAGCGTTTTTTAGCCAGTTACTTTTCTACAGGATAGGGTTGCTAATCCCATGCCCAACCCTCCCGCATTTGTCCGGACTTGGGACTAACAGTAGCCCCAAAGGGGATCCAGGCAGAGTTGGTTCATTAGATAATCATTTCATGAGAATATAACGAATGACAAATGACGTAAATAAAGGCGATTACTTCAGTTTGGCATTCAAAGACATTAACGAGCATATAAAGCATATATGCAGTTAAGGAAGTTAAGAATTAACTATATTTCAACAAAACTAAATAGACAATATTATCAACAATAATTATACAAAAATAAATATGAAAACAAGATCACTTTTGAGTGTTTGATTGGTTATTTATAAACAGTTTTTGTATAGACTTAATTGAAGTCCAAAATAGGGAGAGTGATTGATATACAGTGGTAACGCCATGTTAGTAATGCAGAGGTTTGGCATCATGTGTTTGGGCACAGAGACGATAATACAATTGGTGTCGCCATCTTGAAACATCGACTTCAGTGGCTGGGACATGTTCTACGAATGTCGTCCCAGAGGATTCCACGTCGTGCATTATTTGCGGACGCCGGGACTGATTGGAAAAAGCGGAGAGGTGGTCAGTGTATGACATGGTGTTGTGGTATGAAAGAAAGCTGTACAGGAATTGCTTCTGTTAGACCTTCACGACTCTCTATTTGGGGTCCGAGAGATGGTGCAACACAATGGCTAGAGACGTTATCAGATATGACTCAGAATAGAAGCCAGTGACGATCCTGCTGTAACTTTATTTTACTTTCTTCGTAAAAAAAGACTTAACTTCTTTAAGTGGAAGAATTCCCTGTGGCTGCACTTTCACTAATTGATCTGTTTCTCCCATTATTATTATTTCACTATCATACACTAATTTCTGTTCGTTACTGTTCCCCTTTTTATTATACACACTTTAGATTCTCTATGTCTTCACAGCCTTATTGTTATTGTATGGCACATATGTATCTGGTGCCCATTTCTACCAATATTATTGCGTTCAAGGAAAAATAATAATAATCAGTGTTTGTAAATGTTTCTTATGAATACAGGCTATGAGTATGTTATTGTTGTTATCGCTCGTGCTTCTCGCTTTTTCGGAATATACTCCCCCGTTCGTAGTTCGACTCATCTCTCCAGTTAGCGGGGCTGAGACGCAACAGAATGGCTGGTTTATTTGGTCTTTGGTCATAAGTCTCTGTTCCGTTCGCAAACTAAATGAACTCGTAATCACTTCCAACATAGCAGTTATGTTGAAATTTAAATCAACGGATTGATTTGCAAAATAGTCAGTAATAGTAATGTATATTACTATCATCAATTAGAGTACTATTTCTGTCATCATATCTAAAGCAACTGCTTACCAGTGAACTATTGTCAATAGCTATATTATTAACTGATATGAATTGACTTCATTTTTTTTAAGCTACTATATATTGAAAGTAACTCTAAAGTGTATGATGTGTGCTACTTATATCCACATAAGTAGTATATGATGATGATAATCAGGATTAGAATGTCTGGCAGCAGAAGGTCGAGAAGGAAAGAACGAGAACAAAAAGTAATTGGTATGAAAATTCAAGAATAATGAATTCTGAGACGATTGACGGATATTTCCAAAATGGAACAGTCAAGTTTGAGACAGTTCATTGACATATTGCAAGTGAAGTATTTACTGTATATTTCTCAAATTTATTAAGAGATTCTGTAATTTTGTATCCAAATACATTCGATTGTCCTCACTTGTGTGTTCTCGTTTACTACAACAATACAGCATTATCTTGCATGTTATCTTGATTATAAACTGCTGAAAAGTTCTGTAATAAGATGAAACTGTAGTCTGGCACTTCTGGGGAGTCCCACAATAGGACGAAACGGTCATCCCGTGATTCCAGGTTTTCAAGGATGTTCTAACATCAATCGATACATGGGCTCAATAAAATATTTGTCTGTCCTCTAGCTGACCATCGTCATGAGACATTTAATTCTTAGAGCAAAATTACGATAGCTTTTTTCTCCATTCATCTTCAAGATTATAAATTCATATATGTATGGAAATCATTAAAGCACAGCAAGAACCGAATTCCTACAATTGAAGAACGTATTTCGATGACGAATTTTAGGTTATTATACCTGGTTTTCGTGCGACCACACTTGGAATATGGGCTTCAAGCAATGAGTCCTTGTTTGAAGTGTGGAGGAGATATGCTGGAAAGAGTTCAACGACGAGGGACTAAGATGGTAAAAGGTCTATCTGGCCTATCCTATGAAGATAGACTGAGACACCTTAAGTTATTTCCGTTATCTTACCGTAGAATACGGAGTGATCTAATATTGGCTTATCGTATAATGAACGATGTCTTATCTTTTACTTCCGTCTAGGACATTCGAAGAAAGTTCAAAAACCGAGATCAAATCGTTTACGTCTGGAGTTTTGTTTCTCGCACCGAGTAGTGAATTACTGAAATTCTCTATCGGAATACGTAATATCAGCACCTTTTGTTGATATATTCAAAACGAGATTGGACCTACACAATATTACAAACTGCAAGGATTAATATAGGTCGATAGATCTCCTATGATTATTACTGAAGACTGAGGACTGATATGGAATTCAAAATAACCAAGTTGGATGTAGACTGTTGTCAAGCGGCCTATGCTCATCCACAACGCGGATAATAGGCATAAGTAACACTAATAGTAACAGAAATCATTGAATATATTCAAATCATACCCTCCTAATTCAAATAAATATAACATTTTTGTTGTCTTTTGTTCTTTATGGTTACATGCCAATTAGCTAAAATGTGTTGTTCTTGTTGTTGTTCATTTTCAATGTAAGAAATATGTTTAGTTTTTAAAAGAAAAAAAACAAAGAGAAAAAAAACAAAAAGAAAAATTGAATGTACTTTTAAATATGCCAATATGATAAAGAATTTATTGATCGATTTTAGTAACTAAGTGATAAAAAATCAATCCACCATCTCAAAAATGAATTATTCTTTATTATTCCTGATCACCTCTCTCTCTTCCCCTCCCCCCTTAGAAAATTATTATTGATATGATCATTTCTATCATTTTGATTTTTGGCGCCTTTAATATTGTATCCATGATTGATATGGTGTATAGAATTGATTATGAAATTATTGATTATAATGGTGAAAATCATGTTTCTCAGTGATTACCCACACACACACACATACACACGTAAACGTACGCGAACGCACACGCACACACACACACAGTAACACCAGAAATGTTTATATATACAATATGCATAAATGATTATCCATTTGATTAATTAATAAAAACTTACTTGTCGTGATCTTGTGACAATAATGTTCAATTGTAGAGATCAGACATAGAGACTATGGGGGAAATTTTTTGTTGTTGTCGACTAAGTTTTTCTTTTGGATAGTGATTTTGTTGTAACGGGATGTGTGTGACTGCAGGTTTTTGATAAGCAGCGTTATTTATCGATCGGTTCTGTGACAGTGGACACGTAAACATGTAAGGACGACCTAGTGCCCTGATTGGCCCTGCTTCGCTGTCCGTCCTAGCCCAGTTGAGTCAAGAACACAAATCACAGCCTCTGAGTTATGAATCATTGTATTTCAAACATACTCTATTTATATACCAAGCAAACAAACCACATCGTACCATAAAATAGGAAACAACATTTGTACAATATTTAACAAGTGAAATAAACATCGACCAATAAGAAATGTACATTTAAGGTTCAAGGACACCATTGAACTTAACATGGTAATTATTGGTCTCTTTTTCCGACTATCCCAACAGATTTACAACTAACTTTATATGAATAAGTCTGTGAATTTGT